AAATTATTAGAAAGATTCAAAAGCACAAGAAACTATTTTGAATATTATATACTAGTCGCAAGACACTACGAATATTCAAAACGATTTAGATACATAGGACATTGAGATTCATGAGTATAGATGTACGGAACCAAATTTCTTTTAGTACTGTCGCGGCTACGTTTTTCTTTTGGTCTCAGTCCCGATACAAGTTTTTCATCCTGGTCTAAAGAATAGTATTTCAAAATCGATTTGTATCACGTTTAAAATAATTCTTGAGGGTGCTGATGTGGGTGTGGATGTTGTTAAAGAGAAAAATAACATCCACATCCCAACAGCGAAGAAAGGAAGCTTTGCTTCATTCATTCATGTAACAGAGTTAACAGGACAATTTTCGCCACTGATAATGGGGTGTAACATGAAAGGTCACTTGCTCTGAGCCCATGGTCGTGCTTGGAAGTCAACATGCAGAATTTCAATCCTGCCGCCAATTTCTAAGGCTGGTAGTGGAAACGTAAGGGCCACGAAACACTTGATAGTAATGACTCGCAAAAACTTCGGATAATAGAAAAATCTGTTAGAGTGGAAACAAAAAGTTTCAATCCGTATGTAAAGTATTGAGAGTCAGGGCAAAACAATTCTAGTCTCACAAACACGGGTGACAGTCAACGTACAGAGGTCCCGATCACACACAGATTTAACAGGATATCAACGCAAAGTTTCAAGCGATACAGAAAATCATGCGCATAAGAGCAATATATTTCACCTCACATAGGGATCCGCAAGACGGCTGGTAAAAGCATTCAGTCTACTAAAACAATGTCTTTAGGCTAAGGCGAACAGTGTTAGACAACGCGAGGGTGCGAGTGTGGGTGTGGGTGTGTGGGTAAAGAGAAGAAAAACACCTACACCACCCACCCACACCCACACCAGCACCCCTGTGTAGTAGGATTCGTGTGAATGTGGTGTTGGGAGTAGGTTTGAAGGCTCTTCCTATTCACAAAGCCACTACTACTCCACGCTCTAAACTCGCTTACACCCCGTCAATCAAGATGCATGACTCTTGAAAGTACATCAATTGAAAAAGTTCGATGTGAGGGTATCACGAATGTACACAGGATATGAAAAAATGCATCACACATCAACACATATGCAACGAAAAAACCCTACTTCAGTCTAAATCCTGCAGTACATTTAGTCTTGAGCATATTTGTGGCACATGTGCATGATATGAGTTTCGTCTTTGAACATGTGTGTATTAAGTTATTGTTATGAATCTATGTGCCAAGAAAAAAGATTGACATCTCGTGTGGAGAGGCTCAGGATCGCTAGGCTGGTTAGAATAACTAAAGGCTGATTTGGGGCAAATGAGAGTATGAGTTACTTTCAGAGTGTATTTTGTACTCCTATATGCGTGATCCTTGACTTGTTCAGCGATGTTCGTAATATTAAAAACTTTCATGTTCTGGTGACCGCCAGCAAGGAATAGCAACAACCATACAGGTTAAAGTTTATTTGAAGTAGAAAAGAGAAGTGTTGATTTTTTCCTCCGTTAAAGTTCACAGAAAATTTCTTCTTTTGAATACTTTTACCAAACTTATGGCAACAAAGCTTATATTCAAAAGAAAACTAATCTAGCATAAATATTTACTTCTCATGTTTTTAAAGTAAACTCTGATTGGTACATATGTAAAAACAAACGATTGATTTGATTAAGAAAGTACGAAATGTGTTCGAGATTATTTTAAAGACGTTGAACTGTATTTGTTATTTATACTTGAAGAAATCAACATTGATAAATCTAAGTAACGTAATTGCTTCATACTCTGTCTTTTTTGCACAAAATTATTATAATTTAATAGTTTCTACTTCGACAAAAAAAATTATGAAGACCTTCGTCAGAAATCAAATTCATCGTTAAGGATATCATCAACTTTTAATTCAATCGTCGCACATACTTATGGAGTAAGTCAGGAGTTGTAGATGTTTCACAATATTTATATTCACATCTAAACACAGCTAGTAGATATTAGCAGGACTGAGAATACTACAAAATATTCATATGGATCAACTAAATCATTTCACAATCCATTCCCAGAATTGAGAACATTAAACTATACTTACGTACATTATTAAACATAGTGGAAAACCTTTGCAAAATTGATAATGTCACGAAATTTTGATCGGTTCACTTGTAGACATTTAGACAGCAACTTAAAAAATCATCTCTGCAATACTTAAAACTTGATTTGTACGATGCAATAGTGCTATAATGAAAGCTCACTCAAATAGTTTAACGTAAATCCTTAAATGTAGTATAACATATGTGGATAAGGTGTTGTCATAATGAGAATATATTTATTAGACCTCAATTCAGGTTTCACAAAAAATAAAACAATTGAAACGTGTAATTGGTTGATATACTTATATTTCGAAGTTTTCTAGAAATAAATGAGCTCTATGGATGTCTTTAATACTTTTAATTCTATAGTTGTGACAGATCACAAAGCTTTGAGAGTTCCTATAGCTCAACTATGATGTCGTGTAAAATTACAGACAATATCAATCATTTAACAAGAATTATCAACGATCTAAGAGTATATGTTGCCTTCTGAGTTGACTTTCACTTCCCAAGGTATATATTAGGTTTACTCTTAGCAATGAAAGCTAAATTAGATCAAAATAAGTTTATACTATTAATATACACTACTAGCATTTATAGCGGGATAGAGTGAATGGATACATCAATAATATCGTGTATGACAAGACTCATATAAAATAATGATCATAGAGACATGCAGCAGATGATTAGCATATGATTAATGTATTCCGTTTTAACTTTGATTATGAGAGTTTAAACAAGGTTTTGCTTTAATAAATTTATCAATGTATTTTAAAATCTTTGGTCTGGTATCGTCTTCCAATCAGGTCGAATATTTACAACAAGTTAACTGACGTGAGTTGTTTTTCCTCATAGTATACAATTTAGTTTTCAATATTGGATATCTCTAGACAAGAATACATTTTATCAGTAAGAGCTTAGCAATGTTACGTAGGCCAACTTGAGAGACAAACATATTCGTTTTTGCACTAAATTTGTACGAAAAGGGACAAACTATTCCGTTTTTTTGACATGGCAATTTCTTCCATAGTTTTCATAAAAACTCGAGGTTTTTTCTTATTTTCTGAACAAGATTTCAAGTTTTCGAGGTGTTTTCATTCCTTTGTCTTGTGCAAATTTTTCTCTAACAAGCTTGAAACTTTGCTTAAAAAAATGAGCAAACCTTAAGCTTTTTTGTGAAAATTATGACAAAAACTCATATAGACCAAAGCAAAACGTGTTTTTTGCTTCCTTTCTGAATACGACTAGAAAAAAATAACTCTGATATAGAAAGGTATTCGCATGACATACTTTACAGACCTGATTAGTCTGATTTTATTTTACTTATGGACCAAAAATGTGCTCGATAGATATTCACCAGCTAGATATGTCCTTGTGTTAATTTTGAATTGGAACCAAAATTTCATCTAGATATTAATCTGCACCTCATAGTCGGATGGAACAAAAAGATTTCATCTATACCAAATAAGAGAGCTTGACAAACTTTATATTGATAGAAAAAGTTAAAGTGTAAACTGAAATAATATACACAATGTTCATTCTTGGGATGGTCAAAGTTAGGCATCTGTTATTTCTCAAAACATCAAAGTCGTTTTTGTTTGTGTCAAGCCAGTGAAATGACTCAGAAGAAAAACAGTGGCACTATGAATGAATATTTTAAAGTTTGCGTCAAGTGTTATATCTTAACTATTCATTCGATTGGACTGAAATTGCCAAGGAGGAATCCAAACTCGTAGCATTGTACAGTATATGTAGAAAGAAATCGATTCCGAGATTAAGTTGCATAGTCCGTTGTCTGAAGCAACACTGTTTTTTTTCTCAGAAACTTGATCTTAAAACGAATATCATCACTTCATAACATAGCAAACTGTACAGTAGACTTTCTTTTATTGGATTCTCTGTTTATAATTTCATTTCAAATTTAAGTGAAAAATATCTTACTCTAAATTTTTAAAATAGAAAACACCCAGTTGATGGTAAACTTGCTGAAATCCAAGAAAAGATCGTAAACTTGATTCTATGTGAGCATTTGAATCAATCATATGTCAAATCTCGAAAGCTTCAAGTTTGACATGCTCCAATGAGTTACTACAAAATAGACTTGACTTCCTTTTTAGTACCAATTGACCGTGATGAATAAATAGAATCTAAAAAAGAAATGATTCTTGTGATTGAATGAGTTGGTCCTCCAATACGAACATTAGTAGTATACCAGGATATAAAACGTTAGAAAATATGCAAACACATGTATTGAAATATTATAATTCGAAAGTTATTTTGAACCAATTAAATACTAGTATAATAAAGATATGCTTTGGATGATCCATTTGAGACTCACGTAAATATGTATATCTTGAAAGTTAGACTCAAATACAAAATAAGGTATTTACTGCAGATTATCAATAGGCCAATGATAAATTCAGAGAAGCATAAAGATGAATGCTTCTGGTTATGTGATATACCAATATACAATTCTAAGCTGAGCTACATTCATACTTTGTTCGAAAAAAATATGAGCCACAAAATATGATAAATCTCAGGCATCCACAGTTATGAGAACAAACTTCCGCCGACTTGTGGAACCCATTTTTTTCATAGAAAAATAAGCAGAACTCTAGTTTTTCTGTAAGTATGAAGCATGTGCATACGGCCAAAAAGGAAAAGTAAGAGAATAGAAATTTCAGAAACTTATTTATAACCCCATAAAAGTTTCAGAAATGTTGCGCCTTACATCGCTGAAATTTCCTTTTTTTTTGAAAGTCTCGCAACATCTCATTAATCAATCTAATCTTGTAAATAATACAGATAACCTTGAAGATTATTGTCTCGAAAATAATTAGATTAAAGTGTATTTTGGGAAAATAAAATCTGCTTTTCTTCATAGATTATCAACTTACAGATGGACACTAACTATAGTGACAAATCGATGTATTTTCGCGTCGCCGATTTTAGTCCACTACCAAAGCGAATGCTAGCACCCATCGAAGGCTATGAAAATATGCCACTTGTATCTATTGAAGATGCAGTAAAACCTCTCGTTAGCATCGTACCAAAAGTCGAACGTAATCTATACATCGTCAAACAGAACTGTAAAAACCCAGCAGATGGCTTAACAACTGATGAATCTGCTTCAATTATGCTCTATACGTACGAATCAATACCACATGAAAACTCTCTTTATGTTATTCTCAACGAAACATTACGTTCGGAAGAAAGACAGAAACTGATTCCTTGGTTTTCATATTTACGACTTGTATTGACAGCAGTGGCTCGTCTACCGTCCGACCGACATTTCGTTAATCGAGGAATCCGAAAAGACTTACGTGCAGACTATCCAAAAGGCAGCACTTTTATATGGTGGGGATTTTCATCTTGTACGTCATCTGTCGAGGTGCTGGAAGCTGAAATGTTTTTGGGCAAAGCTGGAACCCGTACTTTATTTCAAATCGATTGTCATACGGGAAAGAATATTAAAAATCATTCATTTTTGCCAAAGGAAGATGAGATTCTCTTGCTTCCTGGCAGACAATTTCAAGTTAAATCATGTCTCGATTCTGGCAACGAACTCCATATAANAAAAATAAAACAGTTGTAACATGGAGCTCATTGAAACCCTTCGCTTTTCCCATTTTCTAGAAATAGACGACTCCGTGAACATCTTTGATTCTTTAAGTTCTAAAAATTGTACGAGATCACAGAGTTTTGACAGTTTCTATAGCTTTTTTTGACTTCTTTCACTAGAGTATACATTTTCCTATTAAAACATTTGTTTTCTGGTAGATTTTTGAGTTTGCACAATACCACAGGCTGGATGCGGTTGTCGATGGGTGAAGAGGACATTTACACCCACACCCATACCCAAGGTTGCTCATATACTATTATAATGCTCAATTTTCTGTTGAATAAAACAATTTTTCGACTTATTTTGAATATTTCTGTTTGTATGCGATTGACTGAAGAAAAAGTCGCTCGATCTTTCCTCATGTTCACTCTTATTTGTATCAGCGTCTTTTGATTATTAATTGAAAACTTCACAATATATCTGTGTTTCCATCTGTGTCCTAAATCTTTGTGACTCTTTCAGAGCCAATAAAACGCAGTCAATAAGATCTCCTACATATCTCTCAGAATCTCAAATAGCCTATACATACCATTGGGAGTTTTATATTTACATTAGACTATCTTAAAAGACTTTTTTCTCATCAGATTTAGAATAGCTTTTTCCTCAGATATTCTTTTGGAAATAATTAAACTTATGAATTTCAAGTTCAAATGAACAAGCTACATGCTTTTCTTCGTTCTTTCTACGAAATAAGATGAAGTGCCGAATCTTCTAAAATATCTATTCAAATCTAAAAGAAAAATTAGACAGAAAATTATCAATATTTGTATTAGCTTATAGAAAAATCTTCTCATATTCATAATAATGTAAGCTTTATTTAATTCAGTGCGAAATAAAATGCAAAAAAGCATTGAAATGGTCGTGCATTTTTAACTACCTATCTCAAATCATATAGGTATGGATCAATCTACTTCATGGGTAATGAATTTCAGTGAGTGAGAGTGAAGTTTTGTTGTTCTTTGATGTCACTAGTCGTTTAGTCTCTCGACGAATGTTTTAGTCTTGCTGTATAGTTCTTATCAATAGAGTGCTTATCTGAAAAGACTTTAAGAAAGAAAACAAAAGAAGGCAAAGCAGAGAAAAACAGAATAGATAGTGTTATCATGTTGCAACAGTAAGAAGCAAAACAAAATTAAAATTATTCAAAACATTTAGTGTTCGATTGCTTCATTCTGATGAGTAAATTATTAGGCAGATTCGAAAAGCACAGAAAACTATTTTCAATATTATATGCTAGTTGAAAGACGCTGCGAATATTCAAAATGATTCAGATAGATAGGACATTGAGATTCATGAGTGTAAATATACGGGACCAAGTTTCTTTTAGTACTGTCGCAGTTAAGTTTTTCTTTTGGTCTCAGCCTCGATAAAGTTTTTGATCCTGGTCTAAAGAATAGTATTACAAAATCGATTTGTAATTACATCTAAAATAATTCTTGAAGGTGCTGGTGTGGGTGTCATTAAAGAGAAAACTAGCACACATATCCCAACAGCGAAGAAAGGAAGCTTTGCTTCAGTCATTCTTGTAATAGAGTTAATAGGACAATTTTCGTCACTGATAATAGGGTGTAACATAAAAGGCCACCTACTTCGAGCCGTAGGGCTTTGCATCAATTTGAAGATGAAACAAATTTTTGCAAGCCAACGTTGAGCAAAAATTCCAACCAAAGAGCTTTTCACCCCTGATCGTACATGGAATTTCAACCCAACGATCAATTTCTCAGACTGCTGGTAGAAACTTAAGGGGCACGAAGAACTTGATAGGATGACTTGCAAAAGCTTCAGATAATAGAAAAATCTGTTAAAGTAGGAGCAAAAAGTTTCAAGCCGTATGTAAAATATTGATAGTCAGGACAAAATAATTCTAGTCTCACAAACACGGGTGACAGTCAACCTACAGAGGTCCCGATCATACTCAGATTTGACAGGATGTCAACGCAATGTTTCAAGCAATACAGAAAATCGTGCGTATAAGAGCAATATATTTTAGCTCACATAGGGGTCCGTAAGACGGCCGGTAAAAGCATTCAGCCTACTAAAACAATGTCTTTAGACCAAGGCGAACATTGTCAGACAACGCGATGGTGTGGAGTGCGCATGTGGGTAAAGAGAAGAAAGATACCCACACCCTCCTATTCAAAAGAAAATTAATCTAGCATAAACATTTACTTCTCATGTTTTTACAGTAAATCCTGACTAGTACATATGTAAACAAATGATTGATTTGATTAAGAAAATACTAATTGAGTTCAAAATTATTTTAAACATGTTGAACTTTATTTATTATTTATACTTGAAGAAATAAACACTGATAACTTTAAGTAACGTAATCACATCACACTGTGTCTTTTTTCGCACAAAATTACTATAATTCAAGTTTCTACTTCGGCAAAAAAACTGTGAAGATCTTCATCAGAGATCAAATCCATAGTTAAGAATATCATCATCAACTTTTTATCCAATCGTCGCACATACTTATAGAGTAAGTCGAGAGTTGTAAATGTTTCACAATATTTATATTCACATCTAAGCACAGCTAGTAGACATTAGCAGAATTGAGAACTTTACGCTATACTTACGTACATCATGAAGCATAGTGCAAAATCTTTCCAAAATTGATAATGTCATGAAATATTGATAGGTTCACTTGTAAACATTTAGACAGCAACTTAAGAAATCATCTCTTCAATACTTAAAACTTGACTTTTACGATGTAATAATGCTATAATGAAAGCTCACTGAAATAGTTGAACTTAAATCATCAAATGCAGTATAATATATGTGGATAGGGTACTGTCATAATGAGAATATATTTATTAGACCTCAATTCAGGTTTCACAAAAAATAAAACAATTGGAACGTGAAAGTAGTTGATATACTTATATTTCGAAGTTTTCTAGAAATAAATGAGCACTATGGATGTCTTCAGTACTTTTAATTCTATAGCTGTGACAGATCACAAAGATTTGAGAGTTCCTAAAGTTCAACTATGATGTCGTGTAAAATTACAGACAACATCAATCATTTAACAAGACTTATCAACCATCTAAGAGTATATGTTGCCTTCTGAGTTAACTTGCACTTCCAAAGTTATATATTAGGTTTACTCTTAGCAACGAAAGCTAAATTAGACCAAAATAAGTTTATGCTATTAATATACACTACTAGCATTTATAGCGGTATAGAGTGAATGGATACATCAACAATATCGTGTATGATAAGACTCATATAAAATAGTGATAGTAGAGATATGCAACAGATGATTGACATATGATTAAGGCATCCCATTTTAACTTTGATTATGAGAGTTTAAGCAAAATTTTGCTTTAATAAATTTATCAATGTATTTTAAAATCTAAAATACATTCAACTAAGTCTCATCGAGGCGAAAACCTTGGATTTGGCATCGTCTGCTAATCAGGTCGAATATTTACAACAAGTTAATTGAGTGATTTTTCCTCATAGTATACAATTTAGTTTTCAATATTGGATATCTCTAGACGAGAATACATTTTATTCAGTAAGACCTTAACAATGTCACATAGGTCAACCTGAGAGACAAACATATTCGTTTTTACACTAAATTTGTACGAAAAGGAACAAACTATTCCGTTTTTTGACATGGCAATTTCGTCCATAGTTTTCATAAAAACTCGAGGTTTTTTCTTATTTTCTGAACAAGATTTCCAGTTTTCGAGGTATTTTTATTCTTTTGTTTTGCACAAATTATGTAACTTTTTCTCTAACAAACTTGATACTTTTCTTAAAAAATGAGCAAAACTTGAGCTTTTTTGTGAAAATTATGACAGAAACTCATATAGACCAAAATAAAACCTGTTTTCTGCTCCCTTTCTGAATACGATTAGAAAAAAATAATTCTGATATAAAAAAAGTATTCGCATGACATACTTTACAGACCGGATTAGTCTGATTTTATTTTACTTATGGACCAAAAATGTGCTCGATAAATATTCATCAGCTAGTTATGTCCTTTTGTTAATTTTAAATTGGAACTAAAATTTCATCTAAATATTAACTTGCACCTCATAGCCGGATAGAAAAAAGATTTCATCTATATCAAATAAGAGAGCTTGACAAACTTTATATTGATGGAAAAAGTTAAAGTGTAAACTGAGATAATATACACAATGTTCATTCTTGGAATGGTCAAAGTTAGGCATCTGTTATTTCTCAAAGCATCAAAGTCGCTCTGTTTATGTCAAGCCAGTGAAATGACTCAGAAAAAAAAGAGTGGCGCTATGAATGAATATTTTAAAGTTTGTGTAAAGTGTTGTATCTTGACTATTCATTCGATTGGACTGAAATTGCCAAGGAAGAATCCAAACTCGTAGTATTGTACAGTATAGGGAAAAAAATCGATTCTGAGATTAAGTTGCATAGTCCGTTGTCTGAAGCGAGACTGTTTTTTTTTCTCAGCAACTTGATCTTAAAACGAATATTATCACTTCATAACATAGCGAATTGTACAGTAGACTTTCTTTTATTGGATCCTATGTTTACAATTTCATTCCAAATTTAAGTGAAAAATATCTTACTCTAAATTCTTAAATAGGAAACACCCAGTTGATGGTAAACTTGCTGAAATCCAAAAAAAATCGTAAACTTGACTTCATGGAAGCATCTGAATCAATCATATGTCAAATCTCGAAAGCTTCAAGTTTTACATGCTCCAATGAGTTACTAGAATATAGACTTGACTTTCTTTTTAGTACCAATTGACTGTGATGGATAAATTGAATCTAAAAAAAGAAATGATTCTTGTGATTGAATGAGTTGGTCATCCAATACGGACATTAATAGTATACCAGGATATAAAACGTTAGAAAATATGCAAACCCATGTATTGAAGTATTATAATTCGAAAGTTATTTTGAACCAATTAATTACTAGTATAATAAAGATATGCTTTGGATGATCCATTTGAGACTCGCGTAAATTTGTATCTCTTGAAAGTTAGACTCAAATACGAAATAAGGTATTTACTGCAGGTTATCAATAGGTCAATGATAAATTCAGAGAAGCATAGAGCTGGATTTTTCTGATTATGTGACATGCCAACATGCAATTCTAAGCTGAGCTTCATTGATACTTTGTTCGAAAAAATGTGAGCCACAAAATATGATAAATCTCAGGCATCCACAGTTATGAGAACAAATTCTCACCAACTTGTGAAACCCATTTCTTTCCTAAGAAAATATGCAGAACTCTAGTTTTTCTGTAAGTATGAAGCATGTCCATACTTCCAAAAAAGAAAAGGAAGAAAATGGAAACTTCAGAAGCTTATTTATAATCTCATAAAAGCTTCAGAAATTTTGCGACTTGCATCGCTGAAATTTTCTTTTATTTTTGAAACTCTCACAATATCTCATTAAACAATCGAATGTTGTAAATAATTCAGATAACCTTGAAGAGATTGTCTCGAAAATAATTGGATTAAAGTATATTTTAGGAAAATAAAAATCTGTTTTTTTTAGATTATCAACTTTCACATGGACACCAACCATAGTGACAAATCAATGTATCTTCGCGTCGTCGATTTTAGTCCATTACCAAAGCGAATGCTAGCACCCATCGAGGGCTATGAAAACATGCCACTTGTATCAATTGAAGACGCAGTAAAACCTCTGGTTAGCATCGTACCAAGAGTCGAACGTAATGTATACATCGTCAAGCAGAACTGTAAAAGCCCAGCAGATGGCTTAACAACTGATGAATCTGCTTCGATTATGCTGTATACGTACGAATCGATGCCACATGAAAACTCACTTTATGTCATTCTCAACGAAACATTACGTTCGGAAGAAAGACAGAAACTGATTCCTTGGTTTTCCTATTTACGACTTGTATTAACAGCAGTGGCTCGTCTACCGTCCGACCGACATTTTATCAATCGAGGAGTTCGAAAAGACTTACGTGCAGAATATCCAACAGGGAGCACTTTTATTTGGTGGGCATTTTCATCTTGTACGTCGTCTGTCGCGGTGCTAGAAGCTGACATGTTTTTAGGCAAAGCTGGAACCCGTACTTTGTTTCAAATCGATTGTCATACTGGAAAGAATATTAAAAATCATTCATTTTTGTCTAAGGAAGATGAAATTCTCTTGCTTCCTGGTAGACAATTTCAAGTTAAATCATGTCTCGATTCTGGCAACGGACTCCATATAATACAAATTAAAGAAATAGATCCACCGTACCCATTACTTGAACCCGTTCTCGTACCAAGTCTAATAGAACCTGCCAAGAAGAATGCTAATGTTGAGTCTCAAGCAACAGACAAGGAAACCCAGCCAGCAATGCCACGTGAATCAGGCACAGTATCATCCAACGTGCCAACTATTCCTAAGATACCTTCAGGTAATGATTCATTATGAATAGTAGAAAGCGCAAATTAGAATCCTGAGAACAGATCAATTAGTTTATAGTCGATTATGAGTATATGAATGAGCGAATCGGTGAAAACAAGGTTCACATCCATTCTTTTACAAGAGAACTTTTCACAACAACGATTTTTCAATACCGTTTCGAATTCTCTCTTTTTTCTTATGTAAATGCATGACATAGAAGCACACGAGTGCGCGTGTAGTTCCATGCGAATGATACGACTATTTACAAATTTTCATTCATAAGATAGTTCTGCTTATGATGTTTCTCCATCAGAGTGTGAACATTAATTGCATACTATTTCACTCCGTATTTAAGTCTATATGAAGCTATTCATAGAAAAAAGAAAGATTATCGTTATCTCAAGAGAGACAAAAAGAGAAAGGAAATACTTACATTTTTGAAATTTTTCTTTTGTTAAGCTCATGTTCTTGTAGCTGGACTAATTCACAGATTTGGAATATTTTACGAAACTACGAAAATAAAATATTATCATAATTTATATGAGAACGCCGTCAGCTCGAAATGTATCACATAATATTTATTGTATCTTCTTCAATTTTTTCATGAAATTACTCATGATTGTAGTTGAAAACCAACGATTCTCAGTTTACAAGTATCAATTCTGTTCGGAGAAATAGTGTAAGAGTCCCTTTTGATAACGATACTTTATCTGGTGTGTTAGCATGCAGTAGAAAATAGTGTGTGAGTGAATCGAAAAAAGTTTTGATATCTACAGTTGAGAAGTTCAAATTGAAAGTTTAAGCATCAAAATATCTTTTGTTCCCGTTCACAAAGTATTTTTGACTACGTGCTAATTTATTGGATGATCAAAATCGCAAAAAAAACTCTTTCATTCCGAAATATGGTTGACTTTCCATGGGTTTACCCGAATAAAAAATTGTACCATAGAACATCAAGTTATGCATAATGTTCGTTATTGAGTTCAAATACTTTACAACATATTGTGTTTGCTTGCTTGACTCAACAAGTAAATCAACTTATCTCATATTGATTTTATTTCAATTTTGACAATGTGGATTGATCAAAACTCAACAAAAAAAAAACACCAGTTATCTGCTTCGAACTGCATCGATAATTACTGAAGTAATCTTCGAATTCTATTGAAAAACACCTTTGCAAACGAAATTTCCTTCGGACCCTAGCCAGGGCATGAACAAGCGGCTCGTTTAAGACACTGCTACGTTCAACAGATAAAAAGCAGAAAAAAATCATATGTTTTAGTCAATCTATTTTTCCATGTGTGCGCAGGCGTAGTTCTTGAGGGTTGTCTAAAATCCCCCAAAAGCTGCATTTTACCTAATGCCCATTAGAAAGAAGAAGAAGAAGAAGAGCTTAAGTAATGAATAGAAAGAACGCAATATTTATTTTACATTACCTTACAATATATTTCACTTTTTTATATCTTAGAGCACCATTTTATTTGTTTGACAGGCTTAAGCTTCATTTTTCATAACATGGAACGTCACGATCTATCATAAGAAGAACGTTTCTTTTTTCAATAGAATATCATTATTGTTCTACAAAGATTTTCTCTGTTTCATCGGAATTTTTCTTTTTCTATGAATATTTTGAGTCATTTGAACTAGCCACAAAAATAAATCAGTTCATAGAAAGCCGGCATCCCTTATCAGAATAAAACCTCATTTGAAACAAAGCAATACTCGTTTGCCAACTATTTATAAACGGGTACCATTTACCACCGATTATGGTTCCCTGAATCAGTCCGTAGATCATGCCCACATTTGTGAAGAATGAAACGAATAAGACCATGCTGGCGATGAAAACTTTTATTTAGGAATTTTTTTATTATATGCCATGCATATCATAATCCAATACCATTCTAGTACTCATAGAAACCTGTACACATGTTATATACAGCTATAAAACATTGTAAACTACACAATGAGCTCATTTAGAGTAATAACTGCATAGATATGATACTATTAATAAAACTTTAATACCGAGAAGTATTTCAGGTGTACCTATTGCATCATACTATGCTATTCATTAGTTTTATAACACGAATTCAATTTAATAGTGCATATTCATACACCATAAACTGATCACTAGATTCGAAAATCAATGCATGGCAACTCCAAGTTCTTTGAGCCCAACCTATTTTTTTTTGGAACAGCTGGTTTTCTCCTAACATTACGTTTTCGACGCCCACATTCGGGTATACTGATATCTAGAGTTGCATACTCCGGAGAGAATAAAGTTAGACATTTAATGACATTAACTCATTTGAAAAGAACAGATGGCTGATACCAGTTTCGTTTCTCGACCACCAACTCTCACAACTTCAACTATAGCAAAAACAGGGAAAGAAAAACTAAATTCAACTTTGTGTACAAGAGAATGTAGTAAATAAATAAATAAAGAAACAAATATGGTGAACAGAAAGTATCGGCATTTGAGCTTCCCAGCTGTAGTCTGATCCTCATACTCACCATATTCTCACTCACACTCAGATTCGTACTTCCAGTAACAGTTTTTTTTTCATGATGAACATTATAGCTGCATCGATGCACACTTGTTTCACTGCAAAGTTTTAATTAATTCATGTCAAATCTGAGTTCAGATAGAACTCAAAGGTACAGAAAACAATATTCTAGAAACTAAAACTTAATATACATAGGAATGAAAAGAAACATATATATTATTTTCTAAGAAAGTGTTGAAGTAACTGACTTGACCTAATTGCTAATGCACACACACGGTTGTGCAATGTCTCTGATTCAATGATAAGAGTAAGGATTGCTATTTCCCTATTTCATCTAACTCTTGAAGGATGTATTTTTTTGACTTTCTTTTTCATTTTTTGTTAAATGGTATGTGATGACTAGAACCGTATTTTAGAACATTTTCGTGATCTTTAAAAGGCTGTTACCTACAAATTAAAAATTGATCCCGAGTACCACATCTAATATCGTCATAGAAACTACATTGGATCTATCCACGGTAAAAAGAAATAGATAATACTCCGCTTATTATCAACGATCACAAAGTAAAATAGCTTCATGCATTTTCTTTCGGAAAAGAAATGCTGTTGGCTTAAATCCAATCGTGACCTTTGTTGATTTGTACACAAACGAAAAATACCTTTTTCTTGTTTTCAATAATTCTGATCACTGGATTTTAAATTGTAAGTTAAAGCGTGAAATTCTAGTTAAATCAGTTAAAAAGAGCGATTTACCCATGTCAGAAAATCGATGCAAAATTGGAAAATTAATATTTAAAGTAAAATTTTTCAAACCACACCCATACCCTGCTTCATTTTAGTTTCTATTACAGTCAGCAACTATTAGTAAATTTGTGATTATAACTATTTGAAATTTTAAACACAGCTTGAGAAGTTTTATTCATCTTAATACAGTGTGGTAGAAGTTCAATGGCATTCAATTACGTTACCTGTGATGTGCATTATATTTAAAAAAATCCCAACATAGTCACCAGAATCATCTGAATTTTTTCATTACCCACCAGTGTGGATATAGTTTCAGTATTGATTCAGAGAGAAACAATTTATGGTAAATGGGTGTACTCATAGTTCTTAGTCCGTTCTCTTCTAACACATGTGCAAAAAATAAGTTCACTGGGAATATTATTCGCTCAAATTAAAACAAAAAGCATTCATCTCTTTTTTATTTTTCATATTTATGTATAAAGATGTACACGTTTCGAATCTAGATATTTTCGGTATAGCATTGTATTTGAATAATATAAATCAAACATTTGATTAAAGAAAATACTCTCCACTTTCGTAAACCTTCTTTTGAATAAAGAAAACTACCCGCTATTTAATGGAGTCTAGTTTAGAATTTGTCTGCAAGTCTTCTATTACGAGGAATTAACTAATAAAAAATTTTGTAGGTAAAGAGCCAACGATTATTGTTGTATTTTATAGAAATAATATTCAATAGATTCACCATCGTTACATGTTAATAACAAGATAAAATGAAAAAAACTTAAAAATAAAACGAATTAAAGTAAATCTTTGAGCTTCAAAACACATTTTCTAAGGAGCAGTCTTGTATTTTGGCTTCTATCGGGAAGTTTATCTGAAGATAGTCTGACACGTATCTCAAACGACGACAGATATAAACTTCTCCAATAACAATTGAGTAATCATCAAAATTACGATACATACACATGAGATACAATACCAGTATAATGTATTGTAGCGACTTGATGATTTAATATAATTTTCGATTATTTTCTGACTGTCTTGCTTTTAGAAAATCGAAGAAGAGATTTCTTTTGAAACGAACATGGGTTATTGACTTTCAAGTACATGTTAGCATTTAAAATAAAACCATAGAAAACTTGTATTTTGTAAATTTTAATAGGCACTCGATCAAGTTTCTTTTGAGATCAGAGCTAAAAATAAAATTACGTAATGTTTTCTTTGGATCAAATCAATTGAAACTGAAAATTTCTCAAATGAATAGTCGAAACTCATTTTAGGACATCATCATGCTAAAATACATCGTTGATGTTAGTTCTCATACATATACTTCGTATTTCTTATGATTAGCCAGTTTTTTATAGGATAAGTTTATATTAAGAAGATGGCGTATATTTCGGAGATCCATTCAAATATCATAGCTTTGTATGTCAATGAGAAACGTAAAAATACTCGTTTGTTTATCAAAAGTTCTTTTCCTAAGAACAAAAGAATCTCTTTGATTCTATGCATTTATATCTATAGATATGATCAATCTATTAACCAAGACAAAAAAAACAGCAGTACAGAAAAGCTTTATTTGTATATGCTTTATATATTCTGACATAAGAGGTTTTCGATTCTTTTTTTTTCGGTAATGAAAATTTAAGTAGATTTTTCCGTTGAGAAGCTCTTTTTTGCTCGAAATAGATCCATTAAAATGATTACTTAACATTTTAATTGTCAATGAAAATTTTGAAAATTTTGAAGACTTGAAATTTTAAATAATTTTGACACTCA